ATGAAATTAGCACTTCATCAAATTAAATATTCTGCTCTTCAAAAGATACTGCTAAGAGAGTGAAATGATAAGTCATTGACTGGGAAAGAATATTTACAGATTTATACCTGATAAAAATACTTATATCTGAAGACTCCATAATAAGAAAAACATGACCCAATTTAAAAATGGGCAAAATTTGGGAAACACTTCATCTGTGAAGATATATGGCTGACAAATAAGCATATGAAAAAATGCATAGCATCATTAGTAATAAAGGAAATGCATATAAAAACCACCATGAAATACAACTAAACACCCACACAACACTGGCTAAAAGTAAAAAGACTAACCATACCAAGTATTGACAAGGATGTGGTGTGCATGGAACTTGCAGTCACTTCTGGTGAGAAAGCAGAATGTTACAGCCTCCTGGGAAACAGCGTGGCCATTTCTTAAAAGCTTAAACATACATCGAAACTGTGGTTCAGCCACTGTACTCCTACCAATTAATTTGGAGAAAAGACAGTACATATTCATACAAAAGCTTGTACACAACTCTTCAGAGCAAGTTTATTTGTAATAGCTCAAAACAGGAGACAACCCTAATGTCCATCAACAAGCAACTAAATAAACACATTGTGGTAATCCATACATAGAACACTATTCAGCAATAAAAGGGAATGAACTATGCATACACACATTATAAATGAATCTCAAAATATTTTTTTCTGAGTATAATAAATCAAAATATGAGGTGGCATAATTATGATCGAATTTATATAAAATCTACATGATGCAATCTAACACATGATGATGTATTAGGGATCGATAGGCAATGGGAATAGAAAGGTGGGAGAGGCTGGAGGGGAGATTGTAAAAGAACTTAGAAATGTTCTGGTGGAGGGGCACCTGAGTGGCTCAGTTGGTTAAGCGACTGCCTTCGGCTCAGGTCATGATCCTGGAGTCCTGGGATCGAGTCCCACATCGGGCTCCCTGCTCAGTAGGGGGTCTGCTTCTCCCTCTGACCCTCCCACCTCTCATGATCTCTCTTTCTCATTCTTTCTCTCTCAAATAAATAAATAAAAATCCTTTGCCAGATCGATGTGGTGCTCTCGCGCTCTCCCGGGCCGGGTCTAAGCCGCGTCAGACGAGGGACAGACATTCATGGCGAATGGGACCGCTCTTCTCGTTCTGCCCGCGGGCCCCTCGCTCCTTCGCCTCTGCCCGCCGTGGCGGTGAGGTGGGGGGTGCGGGGGGGGGGTGCAGGCTCCGGCCCGACCCCGCCTTCCCGTGGTCTGCCTGACGGCGCTCGCGGGACCGGGGTCCCCCGACGCAGCGGACACTCTCGCTTGCCTTCCCTGGCTTCGTGTGGTGCGCGGTCCTCCCCGCCACGGGGAGGGCCGTCCGGGCGCCGCGCTGCTCACCCGCTTGGGCGTGCTGAGCGCGTTGTGCGCATGGCCCTCCGTGGTGCCCCTGGAGCGCTCCAGGTCGTCTCAGGTGCCTGAGGCCGAGCCGGTAGCGTCGTTTCCCGTTCCCAGCGACCCCCTCCCTCGGGCCACCGCTGTCGGTGGCGTGTCCGAGGAGCGGGTGGTGGAGTCGGTAAGGGAGGCCCACCCCGCCCCCCCCGTGGGACGCGGGCGCCTCGTCGTCCTCCGCCGCAAGCTGTGCTGGTGGTGTGGGGACTGGACTTGGTGGGGCGTGTTGAGCCGGTTGCAGCGGGCCGAGCCCGCGCTCTGGCGCTTGGCCAGCCGAGGGGCTGCCGCCTTTTTGCCCGGCATGCCGTGCTTGTCTCCGGTTGTCGTTGCTTCGCCGGAGGCGCGAAACTCCCGGTTGGTCGGTGACGCGAGCACAGCGTGCGTGGCGGGGCGAAGGGCGGTCTCCTCCTGGGGTCTGGCCGCGAGCGCTCAGGATTGCCTTGTTGTGCCTGTCCCTTACCGCGTTTTGGTTTTTTTTTTTTTATTTTTCTAAAATTTTTAAAAGAAAAAAAAAATAAAAATCTTTAAAAAAAAATGTTCTGGTGGAAGAAGAAATACATTTGTTATCATGATGATGTTGATAGTTTCACAGGTATAGATACATATATAGGCCAGCACATGTATATGTCCAAAGATAACAAATTGCCAATATTACTTCCATACAATGGTTTAAATAATGAAGATAAGGAACTTAAGTCTGTGGCCACAAGAACACGATAGGATCATATGGAAATTCTTACTTTATTTTTTTTTCAAGGTTTTATTTATTTATTTGAGAGAAAGAGAATAAGAGAGAGAGAGCATGAGGGGGGGAGGGTCAGAGGGAGAAGCAGACTCCCCGCTGAGCAGGGATCCCGATGTGGGACTCGATTCCAGGACTCCAGGATCATGACCTGAGCCAAAGGCAGTTGCTTAACCAACTGAGCCACTCAGGTGCCCTGAAATTCCTGCTTTAAACAACTAAATAAAACCAGACCAAATACATGTTAAAATGGTTTTTAGACATTGCACCCCAGGTAGCACACAACATTCATGGATGGCTGAAGAAAACGTCCAGGATACAGCTCATGGAGGAGAAACCCAGATGTGGTCTGGTCATCTCCCCGAGGGAGCAATTCAGATTTGGGGGAGGACATGGCAGCTAGAATTCACAGGGCAGAATACCAGAATACCACAAGAGAGCTGTAGGGAGAGAAAGCTCTGGGGTTGGGGTCTTCCTGAGAATAGTCAATGCAAACATGGGAGGAAACTACCCAAGGCACCATAAAGAATAAACAGAACAAAACCCAGAGGTTATACAGAGCCTATTTTCAAGCCACTACTCAGCCTTGACAGTTAATAAAGATCTAAAGGAAAGCTCCCTGATCAGCTAGATAAAGGTGCATTTTGATCTAAGTCCTGTAACCTTCTCTCAATAGGTTCTAAAATTCAGAGGGAAAGGTGGTTGTAATTTATTAAACTCTATAAACCCCAGCAAAAAGAAACTGACCTCACCTTGATAACAGCAGACTAAGATACTGGGTTCTTTAACTCCCAAAGCTAAAGTGAGCAAATCTAGAGAGATAAACTAAGGAGCCCATGAGTCTAATCAAAGCCTGAATTCCAACATAGGGCTTCCTTACATTAGCTGCTGATCTGCTCTCCTACCTCCATACCCAAAGAAAGCTGGACTAAATGGCTTCAAGGGGTGGAATTGTCTGGTCAGGACAATGTCCCTCCAGGCAGAACTTCACTTGAGTGTTTGTAGGCAAGCCCCTGAGAACCAAAGATGTAACTACACTGAAGTGCCAAAACAAAGAAGACTTGTCACCTGGGGAATATCTACCTGGTAGAAGGAGAGGTACAGCAAGCTCTCTTAGGAAAAGGAAGAGTCAGAACTGCAGACAATTAAGTCCACTGGAAGGTGGCATCGTATACTTGTGATTTCAGTTATTGATTAGAACAATCCTACATCTCAGCAATAGAAACAGTAGCTAATTGAGTTTTTCTGCAGTCATTTATTCATTAAAGTTGTAAATAAAAACCCTATATAGAAGATATCCAAACAGGTAGTTAATACAGGCTCAAAAGGTTCAACAATGAGTATTCCATCAGGTCAATAAAAATAATCCAATCATGTGTTTCCTTATTTGCAGACCTCTACCAATGTCTACTGCTGAATAGAAACTAAATAATCCACTTCAAAACCTCAGAAATTTCCAGTGAATGGTAAATATTGCAAGAAACTCTGGACAATTAAAACTTGGAACTAAGAATAAAACTAAGGGAATCCATGGGTCCCCTGAATGGTTTGTAATTTTGAGTGTGGGCATGTTTGTTAAAGAGGTAGAGGGTCTAAAGCTTTCAGTAGTTCCTCAACCCATGAGAACCACAAAACAAAATGATCATGGACTACAACTACCATGGTTGGCAGTCAAGGCAAATACACAATCAGACTGACAATCAAGGCAGATACAAAGGGGTGTGTATAGAAAGGATATCCAGGGGCGCCTGGGTGGCTCACTCGTTAAGCGTCTGCCTTCGGCTCAGGTCATGATCCCAGGGTCCTGGGATCGAGCACCACGTCGGGCTCCCTGCTCGGCAGGAAGCCTGCTTCTCCTTCTCCCACTCCCCCTGCTTGTGTTCCCTCTCTCGCGCTCTCTCTCTGTCAAATAAATAAATAAAATCTTTAAAAAAAAAAAAAAAAAAGAAAGGCTATCCAGTGAACAAAATAGAACCCGATCTAGAAGGTGATTAAACAGTAACAGAGCCTGAAGTTCATCTCCAGATTTTCATAATTGCTCAGACTTGTTTTCATCAAAAATGATTAATTTTTTATTTTTTTTAAATTAAACTTCAGCAATTCTGAATGAGAAACCCAGTTAAACTTCCAGAACCACCCAACTCTATTATGAACCTGCTGTGCGAACATGAGCAAATATTTTCAGTTCTCTTGTCCTCTATATCCTTGTCTGTCAACAGAAAGACTTGACAAGATTGATGAGCTTCATCTTAGCTACAGATTTTTTGGATTCAGTGACTCAAGAACATCTGACATCACTATGCACAAGTCATGGGCAGCCAGTGACTTCTCAAGAATATACCATCATCTCATTGATAGATTCTGATCCTAGGACATGACTAAAAGACATCTTTTTAAGAAGCTTTCTTAAAGTTCAGGTCTCATAACAGAAGTAGAAAGTAACCTATAAAAAAGGAAGAGCAGCTCTCCTTACATAACAGAAGCTATAAATATGGCTGAACACTTCTGTTCAACACAATTAAAGGCACACCACAGAGCAGTAGTTATCAAAATGATCATAATGATGTATGGAGCTTGCCTGAAAGGGAATGACACCTAGCTAAGGGGGTAAAACATGGAGTTATGGCCAGGTCTACAGAGCCTATTATGATATCCAGCAGGTAACATAAACATACACACTTACAGATTTTTCCACTTCTTTCAATGAAACTAGATTCAGAAAGATTTTGTGCTAAGCAGAGCTGTACAGAAGACACTGTCTCTCTGGGATAGAAGAATTCAATGATTCCAAGAAAACATACCTGGGATTAAAAATTCTTCTCCATAAAGAAGCATAGTGACATTATGACCATGATCTTAAGAATCTGAGATACCCGGTCCAGCAGTAGATAATGGCTTCCACCTAGGAACAATACAAAATTTCATTTTTGTAAAGATGTGAACAGAGAGTCTGAAATTGATGTGGAGGATGGGGATATGCAAGGTAAGGGGGCAGAGTGTTGATGGTGATCCAAGGAAGATTAATTACTTCAGTCCCCCTGCCTCACTTTGCGTAAGTCCCAGCAGAGATACCTATATCCGGTCTGCCCAAATCTTGACCTGAGGCAATCCTCCATCAAATACTTCCTTTTGTATGGTCTTCATGTCAGTGTGATGAGCTTCTCTGCTTAGGCCTTAAGGAGTTCCTGATCCTAGGTACATATTGATTTTAGCCAGGCCTTATGGAGACACCATGCCCCAAAGAAATAACTGTACTGGAAATTAGACACAGTGCTGTGTGTGGAATTGGGAAGGGTTCCTAGTGGACAATCAGTCAAAGCTCTTTATAGAATCCTTCTCTCTGGAAATTTATGTTAGAGTGGGAACCAGACACATGGGAACTTGAATATCAGTGCAAGAAATAGGATTTGAAGCAGAACGAGGTAAACCCACCACTTAGAATCAAAATCCTTGAGATTCAAATATATTTGGCAGGATGTTTCCAGTTGGGGCCTGAAAATTGCTAACCATCAAATTAAGGCATTCAGGATAACTGTTGGCCCTTGGGAGAAACTGCAGGATCTTGCACATGATAGACTGGGATAACACCCATCCTAAGATTCCTGAGATTCTAAGGAAAGAGAAGGTTGAACCTCTGGGAGGTACAGGTTCTATCAATACAATGATTTTCTAAAACCATGAGCCAACACGGGGCTTTTTTTTTTTTTTTGAGTCTATGGGTCTCAGAAGCAAAGAAAGCGAAATCAGGACTAAGGGAATAGAATTTTCCCACATTGGGAAGTGAGGGTTATTTGGAAGATGAAGATCTCATGATTTTTGGGTCAGCAGAGAGGGATGCAGGACTACAGTAATGGTGTGTGTCTGTGGAAACTACTCTAGTTTTTTATATGTATACTTATGCTGACTGAGGTAACAGGGATTATAGAAAACAAAAATCCCTACCTCTTCAGACTGCCTACTCTTGCTCACATTCAACTCATGGAAGAAATGGAACAGGGGAGAAGTCATCCCACAGAGGCAGCCATTCCTGAGGGTCTTGGTGAGCCCAGTGAAGTCTGGGCCAGAGCAGGGGCTTCCAGCGTCCCCAAATCCGAATTCTCCCTCTCAGAGTCTGGAGGACATGTGCTTTCAAGAGGTGAGAAAGCTTGTTTTGTTCTTGTTTTTTGCCATTATCATTAAAAATTAATTTAAAATAGAAATCAAGGTTTTTAAGTATTGATTTTTAGGAATCCCCACGGTAAAGAGTAGAGTTTGGGGAAGAGGACAGGTTTGAGGTAAGAAACAGTGAGTAAAGTCCAGAGTGTGTCCATCATGGAGGTTTGATGTGCTCTTGCAAAAGGCCCCTCCTTTCCCTCACCCTCAGGATCCCTGTCAGGAAATAAAAGGGGGACGCCTACACTTATTGCCCAATTAGATGAACTCTGTGGTTTCTTCCAGCTCTAGGATCCCCAGATTCAGAGGGATCTAAAAGTGATCCTGGGAGCCCCCTATCCTTTCACAATAGATCCAAAAACTTCTTGGGGAAACTCCATCCTATGATGCCTCCTTATCCTGAAAATGTTCCTGTTCCTTCTGTTCCCTTCGGGGAAGAGTAAAGGAAATAAACCCGACTTCACGCAGAATTAACTGCTTCACTGTCCTTCAAAACCCTCCAGCAGCAAGGGCGAAAGAGAGAGGAGATTCCCAAGAACTTGATTGTCCTGGGGCCCCCTCCTCGGCCCCGTCAGTTCTCCAGGTGTCCTATTAATGACATTCCCAGTTTGTGTTGCTGCCTACAGGAGCCCCCGTCCTTGGCCTCCAGGAGCCTGAAATTGACCTGACCTTCCACTTTCTACTGGCAACTACTGCACACCCCATAACTTTGAGGCTATACCTCTGAAAGTCCCTAGCTTCCCTGGAGTAGGAGGCTCAAGATCTCCAGGTCAGCACTGGATCTAAATTCTGGCCCCAGCTATGCACAATGGGAAGCCCCTCCAGAGCAGATAAAAAGAGAGGAAAGGAAACTGTTTTCTCCAGAACGGACTTCGCCAGCCCAGCAGTGGGGACGCCTCTCTGCCACAGGGGTCTGCCCACTTCTCCCTCCTCTAGCCTGGGACCCAAGCCCTGTTTGGAAAACCACATGGAATGACCCTCTGATCCAAGGCTGTCTGCCTGAGCCCTGGCTGAGGTGCCTGGGATGCAGCTGTCTCTGATTCTCCTGCCGAGCACTCACCCAGTGAGGATACAGTCAGAATTTTGGCGGCTTCTGAGAGCAGGAACCCCGGCAGAAGGAAGGCAGCAAGGAGCAGTGTCCACTGCCCCACCATGCTTGCTCCTGTTCCAGCTTTGGAGCACAGCCCTGTGCCCAGAGCCCTGTCCCGGGAGCACTGCACAGCGACCTATGGACTCTGGCAGCATGTGCGCTGTTGGTAGCCAAGTGAATGTACTGGCAGGCAGCTGCGGAAGAGGAGAGGAATGGATCTTGACTCTTTTCTCTGCTCTATGTTACTTCTTGCCCATCTGCTCCTCCTCCCAGGGTACCTGCTCCACTGGCTAATCTGTCCTCACCCTCCCCAACCTGGAACAATGGGAAGGAGGGGTTAGTGAGCTTTCCTTAACCCCTCTCTGTGCTGTAATCACCACAGTCTCCACAGAGAAGATTCTCCTAACCACGAATGATAGGGACCTTAGGAAGTTCTTTCAAGAGTCACCTCCAGGTGACTGAGACCCATCTCCATTTTAAGGACTCTGAATTTTCCCACCTCCTAACTGCTCTACTGACCTCATTGTGACATCCCCATGTTCCATTTCCCCAGGTACCTGCTTAAAATCTTTGCTAGTGTCCAATCTCAAGATCTCAGAAGCTGATTCCTAAAGGAAAATTACCTACATTTATTGCTCAGAGAGTTTCTTTGGGAAGTAACTATTGGTAACAAGTGCTAGTGTCCCTTAAGGATTAAGCCCTGCTGGAGGGCCCGGTCTTGACCTGAAGCACTGAACCTCTAATGGTCAGTCTATAATTCTGAATAGGCATCACAGAATAGGACTGGATGGTGGGCACCAAGAAGTCCTAGTCTTACAAATGTTTGAACTTATTCATTAGAAAGGTTGTAAAACTCTCCCAACATTATTCCAGTTTTCCATTATACTGTGTGGTTGCATGCACGTGCATTCACAATTATCATCTGTTCAGATATTCTATCTTCCCAGTGAAAAAATGTATCTGCATTAGGAAAGCACAATTTAATATTGATGCGATCACATTACTTTGTCTACAAACCTTATTCCAATCCCTCCAATTATCCGATTAATATCCTCTGTTGTGATATGAATTTGCTGGTGCAGGAGCCAATCCAGGATCACACATTGCATGGAGTTATCAGGTCTATTCATCTCCTTTAGTGAGGATTGGTTCTCAGCCCTTTTTGTCTTTCATGTCATTGATATTTTAAAGAGTACAAGCTGCTTATTTTGAATGATGGATCCCAAGTTGGGTTTACCTGATGTTTCTCATTATACTTCAGGTTACTAGGGAGTTTGGTGGGAATACTATGAAGGTGGTGTTGATTCCAATCACAATAGGAAGTGATGTCAGATGGTCCTGTCATTAGAGATGATAACTCTATCCCTTGTTTAAGGTGGTGTTCACCAAGATTCTCCACTATAAAGTTGCTATTTTTTACCCTATAATTAAGAAGTAAGATGTGGGGAGACATTTTGAAAACTGTAAGTATTCTGTTCCTATCAAATTTCACTCACTCATTTATCATCTTTCATATTTCTTCTCTGTTCCAAGTATTACTGTCATGGTGGCAAATTATTAATTTTTTAACTTCATATTCTTTTTTTATCATGTGGCATTATATTCTTACAAAAAAACTTTGCCTTCTCTCCCATCTACCTAATTATCTATCTATGTCTATTTTCAGTGTTTACACTTGAATCCATATTTATTCAATGGGTTATAATTTCTTACTATCATTATTTATTGGGTTGCTCCTGTGGAACTTCTATCATTTGCGAGGTTTTTCTTTCCTTTTTACACAAAATTTCCTGACTCATCTTGTACTCCCTTATCTTCATCTTAAAATCATCCATTTCTCAAGGAAGTCTTTCAGTAGGGAGTGGTATTTAGAGATCTGGATATGTTTGCTAGAAGTGCTCATTGCCAGTGAAGTACTGCTATTTATATTCCTTTTTGGTGGACATAGTTATTAAATATATAGATACAGATATGGCTATAAATATTAAATATCTATCTTTATAGCCATGTGTATATTTAATTTGTAAAAAAAATTGTGAATTCATACTGACACCTTCCATTTCAATCCAACACCACAGAGGTGATTTTAATCTCCTCCATTTCCATATTTGTAATATCCCTTAGTAAAGTTAAGAAATCTGACTCTCAACATCTTTGGTATATTTACTTATTTGCTCAAACATCTATTCACTGAGGTAAGGTTACCATTCCCATTTGGCTTCCCCAAATGGGAACAACAAACCTACTCCAAAGACTACTCAAAAAATATAGTACTCAAAAAATAGATCATTTGCAGTTCTTTTTTTCTTTAGATTGACAAAACAGTGAGTGTCAAAGCACTGTGTTCAAATGCAATTATGTTCATTTTTTTCCACTATCATAGGGGGGTTATAACACACATTGGAAAAATTTTGAGTTCATTTGTTTCTGTGTGTTTCTATTTTAGGGTTTCCCCCCATTATTTTTTATTTAGATATAAATTTATCACGTAAAATACTAACATGCCTCCAAAAACCAAACTGTAAAAACAGAAATCCATAGGCCTGCCACCTACATCAATGCCCTTCCACCCCATTTAACAGCAGCCTTGTAAATAATCTATCACATGATTCTCTGGTTTATTCTCCCTCTGCTTTGTTTTGCAAAGGAATGCAGATAGATTTATATTTTTGTTCTCTCCCTCTCTTTTTAAAAAATAAAAATGAGCTTATTTATATTCTTATACTTTGTTCTTTTTTACTTAACAGATTCAAATTGTTTATAGTTGTCTTGCTCATTGTAGTTTATAGCTGCTTATTATTCCAATGTGTATATGTACCATAGCCTCATTCCTCAATTTTAATAGCCTTTTTTTATATTTAAGTATTAGGAATAGTAGTCTTCTATGTGTGATGAATATTTAAATATTTTTCTCCCATTTTTCATTTGTGTTTTGACTGTACTTATGGTGATGCAGCCATGAAAAAAAATTTTAATATTCTCCAGTTAGTTGAATTAGCTAACTTTTCTTTGTCATTTTTAACTCATGTTTAGAAAGTCTTTCCATACACACAGGTCATAGAGAAATTCACATTTTTTTTTTAGACCCAGTGTGTTATCACTTTTTACATTAAATCTCTGATGTATTTAGTGTACTTTCTGCTTTGGTGTAGATATGGATCCAATATTGTCTTTTTCCTAAATGACTATCCAATCATCCCAACACTGTTTGTACGAGCCACCATGTAGGTGCTGTAAAAAGAAGATAAAAAGAACCCAATCCCTGACATTTAGGGCCTTATGGCTTCTAAACAGAGAGACATGTGTGTTAACAAATAGTTTCAACATAGTGAGAACAATGTTTCAAAGAGGATACAGTGAGTTCTGTTGTGGATGTGGTGATCAGGTCCAGCCACACTAATGTGTTCATTAGTGGGTATTGAAGAACATGTAGTTTTTTTGTTCTAACAAGAGCAGAATGCGTTTCTGAGAGAAGATACAGCATGGCAAAAGACATAGAGGTACAAAACAGCACAATGTGTTGGGATGAGTGACAAAGACTCCAACCTCAGCCAAATTTTAGTCAGGATCATCTGAAACCTCTTCTAGACTAGGGTTCAACCATAGCCTGCTACCTTGTCCTTGGCTAGCTGAGCCCACTTCTAGCAAAGAATCCTACTAAACTAGTTTATGGAGAATTCCTCCACCCTTGATAACTGGTTACTTTGGTCTTCCTGTACCTTTTATCCTTGATATCTAATTAAGTTGCTCTAGTAACTGAGCCTTAACAAAGATTCTCTCTTGACTAAACTGTAATGAGTAGCCTGTGAATGTCTTCTCAACTAGACCCTGATTTTGGAATTGAATGTTCATCTCTACATGATCCAATTTAGCAAGAAACCTAAGTCAGTTTAGGCAGACTCCCATTCTCCATATCTGATCACTCTCTATAGCTACTCAGTTTCCTCATCCTCTACCATTCCCCAGGTGAGGTTTGATCATGTTAGCCCACCTCTCAGCAAGAATTCTTTTAGGTAGGTTTAGTCAGAATCCCCCCTTACTGCTGACATTTCTTCATAGTAATTTTCCACCCACTGTCCCCCAGTCAGCAACTCAACTAAAATTCCTACTTTTCATTGTTGTGTTCAGGACTGAGCCCAATCTCTCTCCCCTGTTACAGTAGTCTCTAAATCTAGCATGATAGCCCTCCATTGAGTAGTCTTGCTTATCATCTTGAAAAAGAGCCATTCGATAATTTATCTTTAACATCCCTTCATTCTCCTTATTGGCTATGAATCCCCACCTGCCCTTGCTGCGCTTGGAGTTGAGTTCAGTTTCTCTTCCCTGCTGCAATAGTCTTGAACAAAGTCTTCCTTAACAGGTTTCACAAGTGTCTACGTAATTTCTCTTTAACAGGTGTAGTAGACATGGGAAATGGGCAAGGGGAGGGTAGCTAATGGTGTGCCTACAGTGGTAACCAGAGAGAAATCGCAGAGACCTTGTATTCCATGCAGTGGGAGCCACAAATGATTTTAAATAGGAAGTGATGAGATTAGATTTTCATGTCATCAAGACCATGATGTCAAGCCTATGGAGGATGCTTGGTGGGAACAAATTAGAGGCATCATTCTCCATGGCTCACTGGCTGCTCTTGATCTGATTTCAGGGAAAGGGGTGGGTCTGAGGAAGCACCCACCACAGAGGTGGACTCACAAATTACCAGATGTTAGGGGAGAACAGCATGCTGGGGATGGGAGGGAGGGAGTTACCAGCTAGGGAACCTCAGCTCTCAGCCCCTGTGTTGCTCATTGGGGAAAACATGGGGGCTGTTGACCCCAACAACAACACAAGAAACTGTCATATCTTCCTTGAGGGACTATTGCCACAGATCATTTCAAGTAGTTTCAAAAGAATAACAAAAATAAAACCATACTTCACAAACATGCACAGTCACACACCCCAAGGACACACATTTCTACATGTGACATGTTCCTGACTGTCTGTGACATTCTTACAATACCAGATTCACAAAGTGGGTAGATACCAGACACCCAGTCTTGCAGACTTCTAAGAAAATGTTTTGTTAGAATTGGCAAGTGAGTGGGCCTTCCCTGTATCAATACAGGAATTATTTATCAATACTTTCATTTTTTAATTTTAATTATTACAAGATCTGTTTCCTAAACCCAGAATTAAGCAATCAAAAACTATGGTCCTCCCAGGGCCACTACATATATCTAAACATTT